GCACTCACCTGGGGCAGAGGTATGTTCTATTACTATTATTGATTGTGCAAAATCTCTACTCTCTGAGCTCTCATTGTTATCATCTCCAAGCTCTACACTATCACTGTGTTCTAACTTAGCCATCGGAGTATCCACCCCGGGATCTCTGAGCTCCTCTCTTTCAAGAACCCGTTCTCGTTGTCGTTGGAAGCCAGGTCACCTCTAGCAGGGAGTAACCAGATTACGCCACATCAGTAAGATTTCAGGAAAAAATGTTGTTCCTAGGGATTAAAATGATTGTTTTTTCTGCTTCTGGGAACAGAAGCACAGGAGTTATTTTCTTTTCTTTGAAAATGCTACCAAATGTTACATTAGTTGGTGATTTTTTTGTATAATTATAGATATATATATTTTTTTCAGTTTGTATAATTATACATATCTTCTAAGAGATTTCTAAAGGAAATTAAATAGTAAATGATTTTTGCCGATTGCAAAAAAATGTAAATGATTTCATAGAGTACTGCAGGTAAAGTTAATTAAAGAATCTGATAGGCAACGATGAGTATGTGGGTAATATTCATCTCATTTGATGCCAATTTCTCTCATCAAAATGCATACTTCTCAAAATACACTTCAACACTTTCCAATTGCTTCTGGTTACACCAGACACATTAAATATGAAATCTAATTTTATTCTTCCACAAAAACTCTATTGTCAAAAATATTGATGTTACTGTATTTATGAAAAACAAATTGATGTTACTGTCACGTGGTTTAATTTACAGCCTCTCCTTTTGCTACTTTAACTGATTTATATTCTGCATGTTGCTTATTACTGTGTTCACCATTTTTTATCACTGGCATTGAGGTTGCTTTGTTGTAACTCATGTTGCTTCCTCTCTTTCTGTCATGTCCTACACTCATAACTTTGGCAGGTAGCAGCTCTTGTTCCCCAATGTGAACTTGACTCTTCAATAGATGTTAGCTTTCCAGACATACAATCACGACTAATGACTCTAGCACTACGCAAAATTCATTCTTCATTGTGCCAGTCCCAAACTCTTCTAGTTTTCACTAACCAGGTATTTTGCTAGTGTAATATGTACTCTGAACTGATAATTCTTTTTTATTTTCGTCATTTATTTCAAACCGTCTTATAACAAAGACACATGATATAAAATTAATTATACTCCTTTATTCTATTCAGGTTAGATCTAATTTAAAACCATGTCATGGTTTTGTGCATGCAAATGAGGTAACTTGTGGTGGAAATGCCTTAAAATTCTATGCAGCAGTACGAATGAGAATCACAAGAAGAGGACTGCTCAAGATGGAGAACGAGGTAAAGCTTTTATTACATTAAAGGAGCATGTATAAGGTTTTGTTGTTAAATTTTCTAATAGCTAGGGGTGCTCATCAAAAACCAAAAAACCAAAATATCCGGTTAACCGAACCGGTCGGTTCGGTGTTTTGGAAAAAGTGAAGGTACAGGTTTGATTTTGGTTAGCCAATATGAAAAATTGGTGGTTAACTGTCAAGACTGTTGGAACAGACCAACAGAAGGCAGTTAATCAGTTTTACAAGAGGAGGCCACATCAGCACAACTAACCATCCACTTGTAACAACTGCCATCCACTTGTAACAACTTCCATCCACTTGTAACAACTGTAACAATCAAGATTGTAACACTATAAGTAGTAGAGCAGAAAAGGAATAGGACATTGATTCTTTCAGCATTAAAACTCTCCCCCCCCCTCTCTCTCTCTCTCTCTCTCTCTCTCTCTCCTTCCAAGAATTCAGGAGGTTGGCCCCTCGAAGAGCCCTGAGTTAGGCAGGTTCCTAACATTAACCAAACCAATTGGTATATATATTCTATATATTTTTCATATATTATAAATTATATAATATACATAAATATATATGCATTATATATATTTATAATATATAATATATTATATATCATTTATAATATAATATATCACATACTTTTTTAGTATTTATATTTGTTAGAGTAAGCCAAATAAGGGTAGATTAGTCAACTCACCTTGGTTAAGTTATGAGCTTATGTGGCAGTCTTMTTAGAGGTTCTCTGTCCCATACTTAAGTAGGGGCAGTTTAGTCCTTTACATTTATTAGAAGCCTAATCACTATTAAGAGGTCGACTGATAGGGTTTAGCTATCAGGTTCGACAGTTCTTTCATCTTCTTCTTCTCTTCTTCTTCTTCTTCTCCTTTTCTTTCTTCTTCTCCTTACTGGTTCGGACTACCGTAGCAACAGTAGAAAC